TATTGACCTTAAAAATCCCTAAAAAATATTTCTTAAAGTATAGAAAATAAAGAATCCTCCAAAAATAAACAGTAATAATAATATTTGTTTAAGGGGTTAATAATATTGACCTTAAAAAATGCAATAATTATTATAGAAGGGACTAATAATATTAACTTAAAAAATAATAATAATAATTTTTCAAAGGGGCTTTTGCCCTTAAAAATCCCCCACTTAATATAATATTACTAATAATTTATTTATGGGAATAATAATATTGTCCTTTAAAATACCCCAAAATAAAATAATAATAATTTCTCAAAGGACCTAATATTACTATTCCTTCAAAAATAAATATACAACAACAATATATAATATTGTATATAATAATAATAATAATTATTAAAGGGGCTAATAACATTGACCTAAAAAAAAATACAATAATAATAATAATACTAGTTTATTAAAGGAGCTTAATATTAATTATAAAGAAATTCCTAATAAAAACATTGACCCTAAAAAATCCCCCTAAAATAAATTAATAATAATAATAATAATTTCATTAAAGGAGCTAATCATATTGACCTTAAAATTTCCCCCCAAAATAAACACTAATCATTTCTTAAAGGGACTAACAATATTGACTTAAACAGGCAAAGACAAATAAATCAGACTGTGTCTAGAGTAAATAAATAATGGGAAATCTAAATGACATTTGAATTTAATTTTTCATTGGAGGGCTGATAATCTTCCACTTTAACTGTGTATAATCTCAGATAAATTATTCATTTATTTTGATTTTCCTGGTTGTTTTGGGCTGCAAAGACTTTCGTTTTATTCCTGGTTTCACTTCTTCTATTTGCTTATAAAATGATGCTGATTTTATTCAGACACATTCACCAGCGTTTATTAAACATATTGCGAAGATCAGCAACACACACACTTTCAGCAGTGCATTATGGGTAAACTGTTATTTCAGGTGCTTCCACAATGAACAGCTAATGTCTTTTGACCAGAATCCATCATGGGGTCCAAAAGTGAAGCCTTGATTCTGAAGTGTTGGTTTGTTATTAATAATTTGAGTTGTTTTTTCCTGCTAAACTGAACATGAGAAGCATCAGATGTGGACGACGCGCACTTTTGTTTTGATGGTAGCTCGTCTCGCTGCACAACAGATCATTCCATCATGTTATTGTATTATATTTTGCTGGTGTTTCTCTGTATTCATTGTGTAAATACACCTGAACTGTTTTCTAATTCTGTCTAAGATGTTTTATTCAAGGCACAACTAAATAAATTTTATTCCGTTTATCAGTTGTCGCAGTTTTTGTGCTTGCGCTTTCACTTGATTTGGTTTCCTGAAAGCTATTGTTTTGCCATTTCTGTCTTCTTTTAGGGGAGTTTTTTTCTCGATAGCATATACATCTTTTTACAAAATAAAAGTTTAATAATGTTTTGCTGATTTAGAGACATTTTTATTGTGTGATGATTCTCTCAATTTGCTTTGGTGATTTGGTTTCATATAATGTCAGGCCAATTTTTACAATGTCTTTTAATATTTTAGATGAGTTTTTATTTAAATGTTTTACTATAGGAAAAACAATAGCGTGATTATCATTTTACAAAATAAATTAAGGTTTTTAGATGCTATTTTGTTGATTTATAGCCATTTTTATTGACTATTTTATTGCCATATTATGTGATGATGTCGTCAATCTTATGAGAACTTTTCTATGGTGATTTTTTTATTTGGATAAGAACACTTGGCAAATTCTAAACAATAGTCATTTTAGCCATTTTGGACTGTCTCTACATTTTTTGGTTTTATTTTTTAGTCAATTTTAGTTGATTTTTCTTTTGTTCATCAGTTGTCAAAGTTTTTGTGATTCTGCTTAATTTGGTTTCATATAAGCAGTTTTTGCCAGGTCTGGCCCCTTATTGACATTTTTAGAGTAAACAATCACACACGCACGCACGCACACACACACACACAGTTGAAGCAAGGAAATGTTTACAGTATGTCTGATAATATTTTTTCTTCTGGAGAAAGTCTTATTTGTTTTTATTTCTGCTAGAATAAAATAAAGGCAGTTTTTAATTTTTTAAACACCATTTTAAGGTCAATATTATTAGCCCCTTTAAGCTATGAAGTTTTCATTTATTTTTTGACTCTACAGAACAAACCATCGTTATACAATGACTTGCCTAATTACCCTAACTTTACCCTAATTAACCTAGTTCAGCCTTTAAATGTCACTTTAAACTGTATAGAAGTGTCTTGAAGAATATCTAGTCTAATATTATTTACTGTCATCATGACAAAGATAAAATAAATCAGTTATTAGAGATGAGTTATAAAAACTATTATGTTCAGAAATGTGTTGAAAACATCTTCTTTGGTAATAATTGTGGGAAAAAACTAAACGGGCAAATAATTCAGGAGGGCTAATATTTCAACTATATATATATATATATATATATATACATATATATATATTTATATATATATATATACATATACATATATTTATATATACATATATATATATATACATATACATATATTTATATATATATATATATATATATATATAATTATATATTTATATAATTCTAAAATGTCTATAAAACAACAAAACATCACTCAGACTTTTTGAGTGATAATTTGTTGATTTATAGTCATTTTTGTCATATTTTATGTGACGTTGTCAGTTTGCTTTTGTGATTTAATTTAGAAGCAATTTTTGCCATGTCTGGCCCCTTTTGACATGTTTTAGGTGAGTTTTTATTTTTAAGCTTTTTATATATACTTAAACGATATCATATATTTCTATTTACAAAATAAAAGTCTTTGGGGTGATATTTCGATGATTTCTACACATTTTTGGACTATTTTATGTGACGTTGTTGTCAATTTGTTCTTGTGTTTCAGTTTAATCTACTCAGATCAAATATCATGCATGACAATAAACTCAAACATGACAAACGTAGGAAAAATCTGAGTTTATTACCATTTAATAATGACCCACATACATGATTGGAAACAGAAATTCCTGAAAGTCTCTCCAATGCAGATCTGGGAAACACACTGGGATTATGCAGGTAGTCAGAGAGGTAAAAAAGGAGTGTTTGCACGGACAGAAATCAGATTATTTGTCATATTTCACCCAGATGTTGGACATTCCCACTACACCAAGTGGAGTCATTCATGGGGTCCAAAGAATTAAGCTATAAATATATGCACAAACAACAGAAACTAGACGAAAGCTCAGATTGTAGTTTGGATTTTTACATTCTCAGTGTTGTGACTTGATCAGATCCAGTGTTGTTGTCACACATTTCACATATTCTGACTTGCTAGTTTGTCGTTTATAGATTTAAATAATAAAAATAGCATAAAAACCATCCTCCAACCTAATTAAATTGCATTTTTTGGCTTCGGAAAAGCATTTAAGGTGACTCTGAATTGCTTCAAATGGACGTTAGAGACAATAACAGTACTTAATCAGATTGTCAAACATTTGGGAGACTGGGAGATCAAATAAAATAAAGATACCACAGAACAAAGCCAGTACAGCAGCTTCAGTTCCTAATGTTAAAAGCGCTGTACAAAGCAAACAAACAAAAACCCTGAATTAAATGGAGTCATTAAAAACAAAGCACAGGACAGGTGAAATAAAATACAGCTAGCTACGACCACACAATAGTCCACTCAATCAAACGGGATTCAAAAATAAAGAAACTATATGTACATCTTGCATATTCCACACAGAAGCGGAGCGGGCAGAAGGGCAGTAGTGTTATTATTCATAAATACAGTGTTATAGGAGGGAAATCTGCCGCTTCAAGCCTTTTCAAGTCAAGTTTACGTGTTCAAGTCTTTCTTTTCATTACACACTCGAAGACTCAGCAGATCGAGATCCTTTCCTGGAGATTTTAATGTGCATTTGAGGAACAGTCCATGCAAACCGTCACCCAAACCGCTGTGTTTTACATTCTTCAGCTGGAATCGGGAGTGTTTTATGCTGTTTTAAGGTGCTTTTTGGTCATTTGTTTAGCTTGGTTGTTTTTGTGGAAAAGAGCAGTGTGGACATTCTTCACAGTATCTACTTTTGTGTTTTTATGTGATTTTTGGTGAATTTGGGAGTTTGATGTTTTTTTATATGGAAGAGCAGTGTGCACATTCTTCAAAATATCTTCTGTGTTTTATGCAATTTTAGGTGTTTAGCTTGTTTTTTTTCCATGGAAAAGTTCAGTGTGGACATTCTTCACAGTATTTTCTTTTGAGTTATGTCATTTTTGGAGCTTCATTTGTTTTTATATGGAAAAGTGCAGTGCGCACATTCTTCAAAATATCTGCTTTTGTGTTTTATGCCATTTTTTGCTGTTTTTTTGTCATTTTTTTAAGCTTGAATTGTTTTTTATATATGGGAAAGGAGCAGTGTGGACATTCTTCACAATATCCCTGTTTTTATGTGAATTTTATTCAATGTTTTTTTATTTTTTGAAGCTTTAGTTGTTTTTTATATGAAAAGGGCAGTGCGCACATTCTTCAAAATACCTGCTTTTGTGTTTGATGAAGTTTTTTGATTTGTCATTTGTTTAACATTGCCATTTTTAGGTGTTTTTATCTTTTGTGTTTTGGCATTTTTTGGAGTGTCAGTTGATTTTGATGGAAAAGAGCTGTGCGCACATTCTTCAAAGCATCTCTTTTTGTGTTTTTGTTAGATTTAAGGGCATCTTTTGTCATTTTGGATTTGTTTTTATATGGAAAAAGAGCAGTGTTCACATTCTTCAAAATATCTGCTTTTGTGTTTTATGCCATTTTTTTGGAGAGTCATTTGTTTATGATGGTAAAGAGCGCTGTGCGCATTCTTCACAATATCTCCTTTTGTGTTTTATGTGATTTTAACCAGTTTTAGCTTGATTATTTATTTTTTGCCAAAAAATGTGCATTTCTTGTTTTGTGTGATTTACAGCCAATATTTTGAAGCTTGAAAAAGAGCAGTGTGCACATTCTTCAAAATATCCTCCTTTGTGTTTTATGCCAATTTTAGGTGTTTTTTACAGGGAAAAGAGCTGCATACACAATATTCTCAGTATCTCTTTTGCAAAAGTGGTGCTCAATGTTTTGTTGATTTTGATGTAATGATTTTGCAGTTTTAGGTGTGTTTGTATCTGCTGGTGTTGTATGCTTTTTAATTTTTGCAAATATCATAATTTATCAGAGATTAAAGTCATTTAAAGGTGATATTTCAAAGGTTTTGTACATTTTAGGTGATTCTGTGTATCTGTTTTTGTATTTCGGTGTTATATAAGCAAATTTATTTAATATTTTTTGGTTTTGTTTTTTTTTTGTCTCATCATTTTTAAGTTTCTGTCATTTTGGAGCTTAATTTTATTACATGGAAACTAACAGTTCCTCAAACCCCTCAAATTTTCCCATTTGTTCATTTTATGTGCTCTTTTTTCCCTTGTTGGTGATACATCAGAATTTTGTTGTGATTTTATTTTATTTTTTGATACTGGACTTTATTAAATGCAAAAGAGCAGCATGAACATTTTTCACACTCTCTCTTTTTAAGTTGATCAATGTTACAGAGTTTTTCAGATTTCTTTGTGCGGCTTTTTTTATTTTGCCTCTGTAATTTTTTTATTTTTGTCATGTTGGAGTTTGATTTTATTACACTGAAACCAACAGTTGTAAAAAACAGAAAATAAAAAAGCAGCATGCACATTCTTCACACTCTCTCTTTTTAAATAGCATCAAATAGAACGCATAACGGTTTGGAATGACAGTTAAATAAATGATTATCTGTGACGTTTGCATGAATTATTCCCTAAACAAGAGCTTAATAAAACAGTCCCCGAACTCCTCCGCGAAATGAATGTGCGTTATCGTCAGTGTCATCATGGTAGTGTCAATCAATGCTACAGCAACAAACAGGCTTAGCTATGAGAACCAAACGGCTGTACTTAACCCACCGCTTCTGCCTGGGTTTTAGCTATCAGAGACCCGTTTCACATCTTCCTCACCAACGTTAAAAACACGGTCAAGATGCCAACACTTTAGCTTAGGATTCAGAAATTAAAAAAGGGTTTGCTATTTACATTTCCATACTTTTAAAAAATAGACTATGTACAGTAGCTTTAATCAACCGTCGTGGAGGAGGAGGAGGAAATCTAACGGCAATAAAAAAATAAGGACATTATGAAGGATCTACAAGCTAAAATAAATAGTTATCTCCGTACCATTCAGTAGTAAGAATAAATGTGTGTGTGTGTGTGTGTGTGTGTGTGTGTGTGTGTGTGTGCCAGTGTGTGAATCTAAAATCAAGATGGCTATAATCCACATCACACTCACACTCAAAACCTCTGGAATAAAGTGCAAATAAGGTTGCTTTGCTAACAGCTTATGAAAACACTGGCTAATGAAGGGAAATGCGCCCGTTCTCGCCTCCACACTGGACTTCAGATCTAGTTAAAGGGATTGTTCAGACAAATATTCCGTCATTAAATACTCAGACTTGTGTCATAATGAGACTTTTGTTCATGTTTGAACACAAATGAAGATATTTTAGATGATATGCCGGAGCTCTCTTATCCACCATAGACAGCAAGGATCGATTTGAGTTCAGAATTGAACCAAAAACATCCTTAAAAAGTACTTTAGAATACTTTTGTGGGCAAAAATAACCACTTTATTCACCAATATCTTCTCTTCAGGATTTCTAGATGATTTTGTTGCCATCTCTGGTGCCTTTTTGTTTATGCTTTTTATTTGTTAATTTTTGTGGCTAGAAAAGAACAGCATGCACATTCTTCTCAATATCTCCTTTTGGCCAACTTTTTTTTTTTGGGGGGGGGGGGGTGTAGGCTAGATGATTTTGTAGTAACTTTTTGTCAGGTTTTGGAGCCTTTTTGTTTATTTGTTTTTTATTTGTTTATTTTTGTGGCTGGAAAAGAACAGCATGCACATTCTTCTCAATATCTCCTTTTGGCCAATCTTTTTTTGTGTGTGTTATGGAATGGTGGGGTGGGGTTATATTTTGGGCTAGATGATTATGTTGTAATTTTTGGTGCCTTTTTGTTTATTTGTTTATTTTTGTGGCTGGAAAAGAACAGCATGCAGATTCTTCCCAATATCTCCTTCAGTCCATTTTTTTGGGTGATAGTTTTGATAATTTTTTGGGGTATTAGTTTGGACATTTTAGATGACTTTGTTGTCATTTTTAGGAAAGTTTTTGTAATTATCATAATATTTCTATTCTACTAAATGGAAAATTAATTTTTTATTTAATTTTAAAGTAATTTCAAAATGTTAATTTTTTTATATGGATGGGGGGGGGGGGGGGGGGGGGGGGGGGCTTGCCGTCTATGAAGGATAAGAGAGCGCCAGCATTTCATCTAAATTCTCTTTGTATGAAAGTATTTTAGTTCTGAAGATAAATCAGGGTCTCGCAGGCTTAAAATGGCATAATTAAAAACAATTTACATTTTTAGGTGAACTAACCCTTTAAAAAGATAAAAATTATGTCATTCTGTTGAAGATTAAAAAAGATATTTTGACAAATGTTGGAAACCAGTAACCATTGACTTCAATAGTATTTGTTTTTCCTACAATGCAAGTCAATTTACTGGTTACTGGTTTAATTAACCCTAATTTGTGTTCAACAGAATAACATTTCCTAAAAATAGTTTAATATAAATGTTTCAATCATTTCTGAGTTTCTTCTGTTAAACACAAAAGAAGACATTTCAAAAAATGTTGGAAACAGTATTTCTTTTTCCTATGAATATCAATGGTTACAGGTTTCCAAAATTCTTCAAAGCATCTTAATTTGTGTTCAACAGAAGAAACAATCTCAAAGGTTTGAAACCACTCGAGGGAGAGTAAATAACGAGTAAGTTCATTTTTGGGTGAACTACTCCTTTTAAAGAGATCACCTAGAGATTTTAATTCTGCCATTAATTACTCACTCTTGTTTCAATCATATATGAGTTTCTTCTGTTGAACACAAAAGAAGAAATTTCGAAAAATGTTGGCAACTGTAACCATTGACTTCCACTGTATATTCTTACAATGCAAGTCAATGGTTACAGGTTTCCAACATTCTTTAAAACATCTTCATTTGTGTTCGACAGAAGAAAGAAACTCAAAAATATTTGAAACCACTTGAGGGAGAGTAAATAATGAGTAAAAGTTCATCTTTTTCAGAGATCGTTCACCTAGAGATTTTAATTCTGTCATTAATTACTCACTCTTGTTTCAATCATTTATGAGTTTCTTCAGTTGAATACTAAATATATACATATATATAATTTTTTTTATTGAAAATCTGTTACTACTGACTTCCATAGTATCTCCTACAATGCAAAGTCAATGGTTACAGGCTTCCAACATTCTTTGAAACATCTTCATTTGTTTTCAACAGAAGAAACTCAGAAACGTTTGAAAACACTTAAGGGAGAGTAAATAAAATGAGTTCATGTACATTTTTGTGTGAACTACCCCTTTAAAGAGATCGTTCACCTAGAAGTTTTAACTGTCATCGATTACTCTTTACTCGTTTCAATCATTTAGTTTCTTCTGTTGAACAAAAAAAGAAAAAAAAATCGTCAAATGTTGGAAAACTGTAACCATTGACTTCCATACTATTTTCCTACAATGCAAACTCAATGGTTACAGGTTTTCAACATTCTTCAAAACATCTTATTTTGCATTCAACAGAAGAAAGAAACTTAAAAACCTTTAAAACCACTTGAGGGAGAGTAAATAAATGAGTAAATGTTCATTTTTGGGTGAACCAACCCTTTAAAGAGATCGTTTACCTAGGACAGGGGTGTCCAAACTCGGTCCTGGAGGGCCGGTGTCCAGCAAGTTTTAGTTCCAACCTTAATTAAACACACCTGAACCAGCTAATCAAGCTCTTACTAGGTATACTAGAAATGTCCAGGCAGATGTGTTGAAGCAAGTTGGAGCTAAACTATGCAAGACACCGGCCCTCCAGGACCGAGTTTGGACACCCCTGACCTAGAAACTTTAATTCTGTCATCATTTACTCACTCTTCAGACCTTGGAGGTTCTGCTGTTATATTATATTAAATATATTGTTAAAAATATTGAAAACCTGTAACTATTGACTTTACAGTATTTGTTTTTCCTACAATGCAAAGTCAATGGTTACAGGTTTTCAACATACTTCGAAACATCTTAATTTGTGTTCAACAGAAGGAAGATACTCAGAAACATTTGAAACCAGTTAAGGGAGAGTAAATTAAATGAGTTAATGTTAATTATTGTGTGAACTACCCCTTTAGGCTTGACTGAAGCTAAACTGAATTAAGAGAGTTCAATATATGCAATCCAGGTTTTCAAAACGATCTTTGGGGAAGTTGATTTGAGCACATAAATGTCCAGCGTGAATACAGAAACGGGCGCTAGTAGTGGTCAGTTGTTTCTTCAGTCTGAGAGTGTAGATTATTAGACAATAAAAGGGTCGTAGCGCGGGATCAGTAGTTTTGGCGTGGGGTGAGGTAGGCCCCGTCACAACTCGCTGGACGGAAATACTTGTTAAACTGGCAGGAGAGTTTGGAGTGTAGCCTGTCTGAACACATTCTCTTTTCCTGGGTCGGCTCAGATTTTGAGATCCTCGTCCACGCTGAGCTGTGAAAGGGTTTTCTTGATGCGCAGAGCTGTCAGACGCGCCGCGCCGTTCGCGTACCAGCACTCACGCATGATCTTCCCCATCACACGCAGCGCCTGGACCACACAAACACTAGTTAGATTTGTTATTCATTTACTGATGGAGAAGAATAATAGTGTTGCTAAGCTCTTCTATGAAGCTGACGGTATGACGGTCATGTTAGGCAGACAGTGTTTTGGTTGCTCTCTTTACCTCGTAGCTCTGCCACCAGTTGGGGATGTTGGGTCGTAATCTCTGGTCACACACCACTTTCCTCATCTCTTCTATGGAGGGATCTGACGGCACCAGGTCATAGTAGGGCAGCTGATATTCTTCATGAATACCTGAGAGAAGAACAATCAGGAACTTTCATTAGCATAACACAATTATCACCACTTTAGCAGTGTTTTTAGATTAGATTAGCTCATCAACCCTCACAGATCTCTCTAAACATAATAGCCATATCTCATTTCTAATAACACGGGCGGTACGGTGGCACAGTGGTTAGCACTGTCTCCTCACAGCAAGAAGGTCGCTGGTTTGATTCCCGGCTGTCTCAGTAGGCATTTTTGCGTGGAGTTTGCATGTTCTCCTCGTGTTGGCGTGGGTTTCCTCCAGGTGCTCCGGTTTCCCCCACAGGACATGTGCTATGGCAGAATTGAATGGACTAAATTGGCCGTAGTGTATGTGTGTGAATAGTGTAGAGCAGGGGTTCTCAACTGGTTTGGCCATGGGACCCACATTTTTACATGGTCATCAAGCCGCGACCCAAATTTTTAGGAACTGTAATATAATTTTAGGAATTATAATTCATTTGTATTTAATTGTTAACATACACAACTAATCATAAGAAAATCACCAGGACTTACAAATAAACACTGTTTTACTGCTGTCATTTAACAAAATGTATCAAATTATGGAAATATTACAGAGTAAAAACGTCAAATACTGTAAACAGTGGTTAGGGTAAGGAAAAGTTAACATTAACTAAACTGAACTGCTAATAAAACATTAACACTAATCCTGTTGAACAGAACAAACCAGCAAATTAAAGAAAAATTATTCACTCATTTTCTTGTCAGCTTAGTCCCTTTATTAATCTGGTGTCGCCACAGTGGAATGAACCGCCAACTTATCCAGCAAGTTTTTACGCAGCGGATGCCCTTCCACACACACACACACTCATACACTACGGACAATTTAGGCAACCCAGTTCACCTGTACCGCATGTGTTTGGACTGTGGAGGAAACCCACGCGAAGGCAGGGAGAACATGCAAACTCCACACAGAAACGCTAACTGAGCCGAGGTTCGAACCAGCAACCCAGCGACCTTGCTGTTAGGCGACAGCACTACCTACTGCGCCACCCAAATTAAAGTAAAATTATTAAAATAATCATAACCATTTTTATAATAATCACCAGTTATTTGCTCTTCAGCTTTTGTGTGGGCTTTCTTGGCCTTTGCTACATCATTTGGGAAATATTGGAAAAAGAAAGAAAAAACTAAACAAGAGGGCGAATAATTTTGACTTCAACTGTACAGTAGACTAGTTGGAACCAAAGGCAAAACTGGAACTTTCCTAACAAAATAACTTGAGATTAGTCTAAAAATGACAACACACAAATTATGTTGTGGAAAATCTAAAATACAATTTTAATAAACAGGAAAAATCAAGAAGCATAAAAAAATAAATAAAATTGTTGAAATTTTATAGTTTGTATTTTCTTTTTGTATATTAGTTGTCCCTTTGAAAGGATTACTGTTATAAAGTGTATATTATTATTTATACAACAGTTCTGTCTGGTTCTCGAATCTGATTGGCTGATAGCCGTGATATATTTAAGTAATATCAGCACGCGTTCAGCCTCTTTACCCTTTGTGTATTACTCCGCCCATATACAACCAGCAAAAAGCCGACACTACAGATCTAAAGTTTAAAAGATGCTTGCTCAGCTGTTTAACTGTCAGCTTATGATTTAAATCCAAGGTGGAAGAAAGTAGTTCCTCATACAAAAGGGTTTTTGAGACTCTCCATGTTTGATTTTGTTTTTATATACACAATTATGCCGTCAAACTGTTGTATAAACGCAATATCACACTCGTAGCAGTGCGATATGGCTGTATATCGGCACTGATGGGGACACTGAGGCCACCAGTGGCGATATACAGCCATATCGCACTGCTACTCATGTGATATTGCTCATTTATATAACGGTTTAACAAAACTAGGTTAAAGCTGAACAATGATCCGCTATGATTCCAGAATTGTATTGAGCTCATAGTATGCATGTACGTATGGGCCAGTATAGCAATAAAGTAACAGCAGGTAGATGTGTACGCTTCAGCAACGCTAGATCTAGACTAAAATACAAAGATTTGTTTTCAGCACCTCCAGCATTGCATCGGCGGGCGATTTCCCAGTACACCAGACCCAGAGCGTAGATATCAGCACATTTAAAAGAGTCAAAGTGCCTCATGTTAATGCTCTCCTCCAGAACCTCCGGAGCCATGTATCTGAAACACACAGAAACACATGCAGGATTACAGAAAAACTGACAACTGACTAGTTTTTTTTGTTTGTTGTTTTGCCATGATGACAGTGCGCAGTATTTTCCTAATTATTTTTAAAATACTAGAATTCAGCTTTAAGTGCAATTAAAAGGCTTAATTACAGTAAGTAGGCAAGTTATTAGACAACAGTGGTTTCTTCTGTAGTAAAATGAAAAATAATAACGTCTTTAGGCTAATTATATTGACCCAAACAAAATTAAAAGTCGTAAGACTTTATGCAGAAGAAAAATACAATAGGAAATATTTTGAAAAATGTCCCAGCATCAGGATGCTTATGTTTACATCACGTTTTTGAAATTAAATCCTAATCTAATCATAAACTGTAAATCATTGGAAATGTAGAAGCCTTCTGAATACATATTGTACTACATTTACTGTCATCCTACAACCTGTGGAAACATTTATAAACCATAATATTGCAGTCTAAACAACGCAGTCAAACTATATCATCTGTATATCATCTGAAAGCATTTCTTATTTTTATATCTGATGATTGATTTTTAATAAAAAAAAAAAACACATTTATTAATTTGAACAAAGGTACTCAGTCGTAAAGCATGACTATGCTACAGCAATCCACAGGTCAGTTTTTAAAAATGTTTTGAGATGATTTTTAGAAGTTAAATTGAAATCAAATACCACCCAACATTCTAGTGAAGTTATGTTTACTTCCAAAATATTGTCAAAAGTATGGAAAAAAATACAGTTAATATTCTTCAAAACATAGGAAGGCCTTTGTATTGTCACCAATGGCCATCTGGTGGTCGTGTCTGGAACTGCAACCACACTAAATCCTACAGAAAGCCTGTTTTTTATCTCAACTTTAGCTTTTTAGTTTGGTTAAATTTTAGGCAACAACAGGTTTTGTAAAATACATATTTTATGTAATGTAATAAAATACACATGCATTGTTTTATTATAAAAATAAAGGTGCATAACTTCTTTCAAAATTATCTTTAAAATGTATTTAAATCTATGCACCACTGAACACAGGCATTCATGTCTGTTCAAAAAGTGGAGGCAGTTTAAAGGGTTAATGCACTCATCAAAATAAAGTACCCTATACTGACAGTGTCTCACCTATGTACATATGTTAAACAATAATATCATGATTTATGGAACCAAAACTTAAAATCAATAAGAAACTAGTCGTATGTTTAATTCAGCAGTGTTAATGTACAGTAATGTAATGTTCAGCATGTTTCTATGTACTCCTGACTGATATGTTAATCATTTATACCTCTTGGTGCCGACGCGCTGGTTTGGAGCTATATCGATGGTGTCAGTGATGGACTCGTGCCGTACTGCCAGGCCCAGGTCAGCAATGGCACATGTGCAGTTTTTCTTCACCAGGATGTTCTTAGACTTTAGGTCACGGTGAGCAATGCCAGGCTTACCTGCAGAACCAAAACAAAACTTTAAATGAAATTAAAAGTAACATACACCATACATACACACACACACACACTGTATACAGCATTGTTATAAGTAGAATCATCATGTGGTAAAACAATAATTCAATTTACTTTCTACCAAGCACTTGATTTTGACACTGATCCCATTCTCTGCCCTACAGTATTGTTCATCTAATAAGCGTGATTCTTACCCTGAGTGCCCAGTATCTCCATGTGTAGATGTGCCAGGCCGCTGGCAGCCGACAGAGCCAGTTTGATCATGCCCTCGATGGTGACTGAATATCGGTTCAGATAGTCAAACAGAGAGCCGTTCTCATGATAGTCTGACACCAACCACAGCTGAGTCCATGTGCCGTTATCTGAAACAGAGAAAATTACTCAAATCTGCACCACAGTTTGTTTGATTATTTACTGCCACATCAGCAACTTATCAATATAGACAAAAACATATCACAAGAACAACTTCATAATTCAATAAAAGATCATACTTAATCAAACTAATACAGAAACAGTTGAAGTCAGAATTATTCGCCCCCTTGTTTATTTTTTCCCCAATTTCTGTTTAATAGGGAGCAGATTTTTTTCAACACATTTCTAATCATAATAGTTTTAATAACTCATCTCTAATAACTGATTTATTTTATCTTTGTCATGATGACAGTAAATAATATTTTACTAGATATTCTTCAAGACACTTCTATACATATTAAAGTGACATTTAAAGGCTTAACTAGGTTAATTAGGTTAACTAGGCAGGTCAGGGTAATCAGGCAAGTTATTATATAACGATGGTTTGTTCTGTAGACAAAAAAATCAAAATAATATATAGCTTAAAGGGACTAATAATTTTGTCCTTAAAAAATTAAAAACTGCTTTTATTCTAGCCGAAATAAAACAAATAAGACTTTGTCCAGAAGAAAAAATATTGTCAGACATACTGTGAAAATTTCCTTGCTCGGTTAACCATCATTTGAAATATATTTAAAATAAAATAAAAATAAAAAACATTCAAAGGGGGGCTAATAATTCTTATCTTAACTGTATATAAATAAAAAAATATATTAATATTTAAGCTAAAAACATTTAATAAAACATTTAATATAGCTTTTCAGTTTAATATATAATAAATTATTTAAAAAACTCCCGGGAACATATTTTTAAAAACATTCATCAAAGTGCTCTCAGTACAAAACTCGTCAAACTTATCAGCAAATCTGCAACTTATGGCAGTATTTCATTGCAAGATCAATGTAGATAAAACATATTACATAATGATAACAACTTCAGAATTCATTAAGAGATAATAAATAAATAAACATACAAAAATATATGTTAAAAACATTAAAACTGATTTTTTTAGGGTAATTTCAATGACTTAAAATTCTTCCCAATAGGAAATATTTAAAAACATCCATAAAAGTGCTCTCAGTATAACAATTCTGTCCGATAGTCTTTAAAATTTCACATTTCCATAAAAATATCACAATATATATTACAGAATAACACAATCACGCAATGCTAGACTTTTCCAATATTGTGCAGCACTATATATATATATATATATATATACACACACACACACAGAATAGCACTGTGCATGCTATATAAAGCACTGAAATAAGATTTCATGAGATACCTTTGTTGTCTGCAGCAATGAAGCCCAGAATGTTCTCGTGGCGCAACATAATGGTCTGGTAGATTTCAGCTTCTCGAAACCAGGATCGTTCTTCCCGAGAGGAGAAGATCTTGACTGCGACGTCTCCACCTCTCCACTTCCCTCTCCACACCTCACCGAAGCGGCCTTTACCGATGATCTCCTGTAGGACGATGGTACGAGCCACGGTCCTTTGCACAAACAGAGGCAGGCCTGCAGAGAGAGTCAGAAGCTATGTATTTGTTTGTGTTTTAATGCCATATTAGCAGCATTGGATTTATTAATGTCAACATTGGTGATAAATATTCAAATACGCAATATTCAAATGTATCAGTTCACTAATAAACAAGAATTACAAAAATAAAAACATACAGATGACGACAATACTGATAAAAAGGTCATAAAATATCAACCCTTTGAAACATTTTTTCCTTTATATTAAAACATTGATAATAGCAATAATAATAAAATGTTCTCTAGTATTGTTTAAAAATAAATTCGATTAAAACCTAAATATTTTTATATTTAAGTCACAAATTAATTTCTCCTCCCCTTTTAATAAATGAGAATATTAGAAAAGACTGACCGTATGAGGGAATTTTTTTTTTTCATCTTTCCAAGTATCACATTATTTCAGAAGACTTTAGTGCATGAGCAGAATTGGGATTATTAGCCAAACAATAACATAATATATAAATATTAGATAAATCAAATACTTCAGTTTTTTTAATGCTTCAGTACTAAAATTGTCTACTGAAAATAAATAATATTAAAAATTATTCATTAGTTATGAATATTTAAAATATAATACAATAAAATAGATTTATAATAAGTAACATTTTACTTTTTAGGTCTAAATAGTAATACTACAAAAAAAAGTAATATTACAAAATATATATAAAAATATAAATATAAAAAAATATATATATATATATATATATATATATATATATAAATAAATTTTTTTAATAATAATAATATATATATATATATATATATATATATATATATATATAAAATTTTTTCAATATATAGCCTCATATTAAAAAATGTTTAAAAAAAAAAAATATATATATATATATATAAACACAATTATAGTTTAAAATTAAAATAAATAAAAAATATAAGGAAAATAATATATATAGAAATATATATATATATATATATATATATTATTAAAAAATAAAAAAAAAAAAAAAATATATATATATATATATATATATATATATATATATATACACACGCAATTATAGTTTATATAGAAAACAAATACTTAAAGCACTTAAGCACTTAAAAGTCGAAAGGATGACTGTTCTGATATTTCCCAAAAATCTCATTAGGGTTATGATTATTTATTTTAGTAACTGAATTAAAAAATAAAAAATGAACATATTAGGCTTGAAAACGTACTTAAGTTTTAGTTGAAGCACTACATTTACTGGATCTAAACTGAAAAAAAAAATCTATTCAGCCTAATAAAATAACATAAAATTAAATGCCAACTAAAATGTATTATAGTTTTAAATGCACAAATAACTCCTGCAAACTACATAGATGTTCTCATGTGATCCCAACCTGAGCCTGATCCTGAGGTGGAGAGGTCATAGATGAGGTCCTGCAGGGTCTTGTCCTTGGCCAGGAACATGTGCTCAGTGCTGGGATCCTCCACCTCCAGCCTCTGCCGGTGCCCGTAGGCCCGCTGGTGGTGCTGAAAGAGGAAGAGTCCCAGCAGAACCAGCACACACAGCACAAACACAGGGCCCGCCACCACCGCCGTCAGCTCCACCGGCCCCCAGTCCTGCCCAGCACCAGGCCCATTCGTCACTAACAAGGAAAAAAAAAACTATTAAATTAAACTACTGTATTATTATTATACAAAGTCACCTACATCTTGGATGTAGGACCTGTGGGTGAGTAAATTAACAGGAAATGTGTGCCGCAACTCACCGATTGGCAGCCTGAGGTCGATGCTGTTGCAGTAGTCGGTGTAGCAGCAGTGTGTGTTCATCAGACCCTCAGCGCTGAGGCAGTAGAACGGCTGGCCTGGAGGAACCAGCTTCTCCTTGTGGATGCAGAGACGCACATGTTGCTCCTGTCCTTCAATGACGGAGGTGGAGGCCACACACGCGCCGTTCGTCTCGCACTTAAAGCCATCCCTCTCGCAGTGTGGAGCGGTGCAGTTACACAACAGAGCTGCAAACACAACAGAACAGACACAGATGTATTCAATCATGTGTCGCATATACAGTTGAAGTCAAAATGATTGATCCTCCTGTGATTTCATCTTTAATTTTTAAATATCTCCCAAATGATGCTGAACAGAGCAAGGAAGTTTTCACAGTATTTCCTATAATATTTTTTCTTCTGGAGAAAGTCTGATTTTTCAGCTAGAATAAAATCTGTTGTTTTTTTTTTTTACTCATTTGAAGGTCAATATTATTAGCCCCCTAGCGCAATTTTTTTTTCTGATTGTCTACAGAACAAACCCCTGTTATACAATGCAGGGATCAACACTTAAGATTTTTTCTACTGGCCCGATCAGACCAGTGGTTCAGATTTTCACTTGCCCTGCCAATTTACAACATTTTATAAATATCACTATTTCTAATACTAAAAACAATATTGACAGCAATAAATAATACATTTGATATAAATCTAGAACAGTTTAAGGTCTACTTTTGATAAATCTTTGAAGGATTCACCATTTAAACACTTCCTTTAAAGCAAAACTGAGTGAACTTTTTGAACATTTAGCAGTAAATGGAAAAGCAGATGTGTGTTTCCAACAGAAGGGGGCGACAGAGATCAGCACTATTATAGTGTACACAACTGAGTAAAGAGCATTTCTGCATTTAAAAAATGAGTGAGAATAGTCAGACAACTGTTTCATCATTATGTGTTTTATATGCATTATGTTGTTTAGGTAAATGTGATTATAAAATGTATATTATTTAATATTTAAATGTACCTTTTTTTCTTAAAAACAAAACAACACATTTTTACAACAATCAAAAATAACAACAATATAAATAAAATATAAATATTAATGTATTGCATGATAAATATATTCTAAAACAGTTCTACTTGAAACCAATTCATACTTTTCATAAAAAAAAAATAATTACCACAATTTTAAATATGTACGTTCCATATAATTGCATACAGAAAACAACTTATAAATAATAATTAATATCAATATTATCCAGCCATTATTTATACATAAATAAGTGTAAAGTCCTGTTCCATGGCTGGTAAGATTAGTGGATCATTTTTCATGATAAAATTATTTTCTGAAACAGAATGTTTTCTTGCGGGTTACCACACGGGACAGCATTACCACTATTTATTTCTCTCCATTCAATTTTTCCTGGTTAAAGACTCAATCTTCAGGTCTGTCCAGACAGACATGATTGAATCAAGCTGGGAGCAGAGCACATTTATATGGAGTCTGCAGACGGTCTGAACTTGTGGCCTTCAGACATCATTCTCCTGCAGTGCAAACGCAACTCATCTGAGAAATGAACAACAGCCTGCAGAAATCTGCTACACATGCACACATCTGAATTAGGGAGTACAAAATTAAAAACTAGAAGCCTCCAGTCGATCCGCAAGTGCCGCCTTCTCCCACCATCAATTGTTTTATTCCAAAATCGGGATTAAAATTGTTACAATGCTGCTCTTTGTTCTTGGTGCGGTTCGCTTTCACATGGCAAAGTCATGGTGTAAAAGCACCCTGTCACTTTCCAAAAGCATTTCTGAGTGTGCCTCACATAGGTGAGTGGGCTTGACAAACCACATGTAGAAAACACACTCTTTTATCTCTCTGACACTTTAACCGACACTTCAAGGCTCAACAATAAGGACTGCCCAGTGGCCCAGGGCCAGCTTGAGAGACACTTGTGACAGTAGACCGGATCATTACTGGCCCGATTGGGACAGTGCTGTCTTGTCACTAACATTTAATTTGTCTGTGACTATTTGTCAATTGAGTTTGTGCTTTTAAGTTTTTAAACACTACCTTCTCTGTTATGTCGTAAACACCATATTGCTTTCCAGTTCCTCTTATTTGATTGACCATGATATTTTTTTTCTGTAACCTGGTAAAAACCAGTACAGCGAAGAAACGGCAACATGGAGGCAACATCAAATTATAAGGCTAAAAGAAAAAAATCTGTTTCTAACGTCTTGGAAGTAGACATTTACGTGTGACTAACAGAACAAAATAAAAATGAAGTGATATTTTGCACAGTTTGCGGCCAGTTTGACAAGTCAGCCACCTTTTTTTAACATTTTCTGTACTGCTCTTTTTGTTTGCATAACACTTTTATTTACAATTTATTTTAAATATTAAAATTCTAGATTCACAGACTTTATTTTTGACACATTATTTAAAATGTGGCAAAAAAATAGCTATTAACTTCCTTTTTTTTTGGTGGGGCCAGTGAAAATTTTGGCAGGGCAAGTAAAAATCTGAACCCCTTGCCCGATTGGACCAGTAGAAAAAATCCATAGCGTTGAACCCTGCACTTGCATCAGTTTTGCACATTTACACCAGACACTTTCTTACAACCACTCTGAAAAACAAACACACAGCACTGCATTTGTTCTTGATATGCGAGTGGGCTTGACAAACCACTTGTAGAAACACTCTTTGCTCTAAAAACTCTCCCTTCCTTACTCTAGCACTGAAATCTCTGAACACTAACAGTTCCTTTGCACAGCTAGCACTTCTTGTGTGTATTGACTCTTCTTGTTGAATTGCTGAATTGTAAGTTGCTTTGAGAAAAAAAGGTCTGCTAAATGACAATGTAAACACAACAAGTCTAAAGTCAAGATTATTTTTTAATATAAAAAACTGTAATGTTGTCTTTAAATTAAACTTCCAGTTCCAAATGAACTGTAAAACTGGAAAAAGTTATCAAAAAAATAAAATCCAAAGGACATCTACCTAAAAAATACACAGAGGTTGTGGTCATATTAAATATTAATTCGTAATAATGTTAACCTAAACAGTTTTTAGTTTTTTATTATTAATATTATTACTATTATTATTATTATTATTATTATTCCAGCCAAACTAGAAAAAAAAGTAATAATAATAATCCCCAGCAGAAAAAAACAAAAAATTCCTTTCCTCTGTTAAAGATAATTTGAGAAATATTAAAAAAAAAAAAACATATATACACAATTTCACAGGAGGGCTATTAATTTAATCAACATTAATATCTCATTTATTTTCAACCCCTCAGTCTGTGTTAAATACAGGACAATACAATGTTTTACATGCAAGAAATCTGAAAAGTATTTCAGCAACCCCCTGTTTGATTACATGCCCCAAAAAAACAAATCTAACATTCGAGCTTTCATGGGGAAACAAATAAAAAGCTTCAAAACTGTAAAACGCAGCTTTTAATTACCGGCAGCCAGTCATGTAACAAGCTGTGTAAATGAGTTATGCAAGAGCTGCACTTCTCTAATGTGCAACATTGATTTGCCACTTGTTTCATTCTCTGCTCAAGCTCCTACACAATGTGATTATTCAAATATTTCTCCTGACATATGGATAATTGGAGAGTGTGAAGTGAAATCGGGGGAGAAGGAACTGCTTCGATTGTGTCCAAAATGTTCTCGGCACAGCTTTTTTTTTTGGTCTTTTTCACAGTGCCGAATGCAGGCTGCGGCGTGTTGCACTGATGGCGTGACTGAACACAGCTCTAGCTAATGCCAACACCACTCAATTCAAGCCAAAACACAGAGCGAAACAAATTGAGACTGTGATCAATTCACATTAAGAGGATTTGTTTTACCCTATATTCTTGCGATGTTTGTTTATTCTTCTGTTTACAAAGCATTTTTAAAGTTTGCATGGATGTAGTTCATTGCAGAATTTTTAAAGGGGAACTATTGTGCAAAAAAAAAAAAAAATCACTTTTATAAGAGGTTTTAACATAGCTGTGTGGTAATAGTGTGTGAATATAGCCAGCCTCTGATAGTAGGAATTCATTAATTCTACTTTATATAATCACACTTGATAAAAACAGTCTACAGAAACAATTTGATTGACATTCTCCCTTGGTACGCATCATCAGAGGGGTAAAGCCCCGCCCACTAGTGACCATCTCTCCTTCATTAGCATAAACAGCCCTGAGTGAGAAGCAGGATTATGAATGAGCTTTTCAATGCAAAAATGAACAGTGCAGTCTAAATAGACTGCTTTCTTTTGAGGCACTGGCTGCGTCTGAAATCGCATACTTCAGGGTTTGAAATTGCAACCATTTTAGACGCATATGCGCCCAAAATTTTATCTATGCGACCTCAAAATATATTTGGGAGCATTTGTGCGAGTGCATTAAACTGTTGTGTGCGACCAGTTTTTACTGCAAAATGTTCACAACATGCGTGGATTTGGGAGACATTCATGCAGAATGCATCTCTGCACTTGAAAAGTGAAACGCAGCGCTCAGGAATGGTGTAAAACAGTTGTCATGTCAACTTGCTGCAGTAAACAAAGCCAAGTCCGGAATGCTTGCCCCGCCTTCGCGCTCTTCTTATTGGCCCACCTCTGCTCTAGCACTGAAATATCAGCTGTCAATCACTCAGTCAATGCTTTCTGGCTTGGGATGACAGAGAGAGTTACTACCGTGAAAAATTGTAAAGCTCTGAAGATGAGAATGAATTCTTGTGAATATTTCCTTGTGATAACGGCATTTCGTTGAGATATTTTCCTCATGCTTGCATATATATTTTTTGCTTGTTAGTTTGATTACAGTTGATTTCAAATGCGATAAATCTGTTTGTATAAAACTTGTAGTAACGGTGCTTATAACTGGTGGGTGCGACTAAATTTTGGCTGATGAGCCTAAATTTTTAAAGGAGCACCCGTGCTACCAAGCAAAAAGGTTAATTTCGAGCCCTGTACTTCTATACTATATAGTACGCTAAAACAGTATGCGAGCAGAGTAAAATGTCAGAATTTACACAACACGAAAAACAATACAAGAGTGGTACCAGGATGACCTACTACTTCCGGCGAGATTCTGAAGTGCGCATCTGAGACACCACGCTAAGCAATAAAGGTACACGAGCTGTCACTGGAGTGGGACCTTTTCAAAAGGTACACATTTGTAGTTAAAGGGTCCATATTGGTACCTCAAAAGTATATATTAGTACCTAAAGATTTTAGGGCATACACT